GATGCGTTGTTTGATTAATATCGCTACAAAAGCAGTAGGGAGGCAAAGTAACAATCTTCATCCAGCAAAAAATAAAGGACTTAGAGCTTTGGGTAAGGTAGAGCCCCTCCTATTTGTGTTTACAGACAGCAATACTAGTTGTAAATATGCGTAAAGCATTAACATGACATCTGTTTTTGTGGCGACAAAGATTTGAGCTTAGGTGACTGTTTGAGGTCACTATTCGGAGACATGTACAGCTGTAACATCACCGCTATTGAAAATGCCCGTTCATCCACATCGAGAGGGCATTCAGAAAATTAAAGCGATTGGAGCTAATATTTCGGAATTGAGAGGTTCTAATATTGTGTTTTGGAGTCTACTCCTAATTTCGTCAAAGGATACTTTGTGCGCCTACGAATGCACGAACTTACGAATAAGAACTGTTTCCTAATTAAGTGGTTATGTTTCGTAAATTAGCGCCTGATTTGCAATTTTTCAAGCCATTGACAAGCTACTTCCTGCATAAATGAAGATAGAGCCCTCGTACCAAGGTGACTCAGGTTTGACAAACTTTCATAGTAAAAATAAATGAAAATCGAGCTCTTTTGACCCTCAGCATCAATGCTCAGGCACATATGCACACTCAATAGTACTGATAAATAAAACAAATGGAGTTAGAAGATTCAATGAATGCAAATGTCATTTGAGGCATGCCGCAATGAGTTAATAGGTGAACGCAACATTAGATCACGTGATCATCTGGCAGTCATAACAGAGTTTATCTGTCTACTTTTCTCCATGCTGCTAGCACACATGATTTTCCGCATGAAGAGGTTACTGAGGGCACTGACACCGCTAAATCTACCACGTTAAATGCTATATAGTTAAATCATAAAAGGGTCCGATCCACCAACATAAAATTAGGGAGATGGAAGCACAGATTTGTGGGAATGGGGTAGAAACGCCCGACGATTTCCCTTTACCCACAGGCTATTTACAATTTGCATTTATCGCAGTTAAGGCTTTGCAAAAGCTATTTTTCGTTACATCTACACAGTATATTGGCAGTGAATGAGGCAACTATTAAAACAGCATTATGTAATACTCAGTACGGAAATTTGAGTGGTAAAAGATAAAATAGGTTCTAGCCAAATAAAACTATACCAAAATCTTTAAATGTCAAGGGGATGGGCAGAGGAAGGGGCATAGAGGGCAGACTATTCAATGCGGGTTTGGTTAGTAGTAAGAATGAGTTTAGCTGTTCGTCAATTGTTTCTGTGGTAAGATATTTGAAGAAGGGCATGAAAACGTGTTGTGGAGGCATTCGTAGTAAATTAGCAATATTTTCAATGGATGCCATCGCATGACATGGTGGAAAGTGGAATTTGAAGGTACCTATTCAATTACTATGCGATGGAGCGTGTAGTAATGCTGCATAAGGCACCTGACCGACTTATTGGATTTCAGTGCCTTTTATTTCATGACATTAAACATACAAAATAAATTACGTAATTCATTTGTACTGCACCTTGGGAACACTCCCTTTTGGGACCAAATGCTGTGCAATCTACAGCATTGCAACTTGTGATCAAATTAAAACCCCTCGGGAAATTCTAGAAGCGCGAATGAGATGCTGCGAAAGGCGAGAGTGCGACCTGGTGTGAGAATGGCCTCTCTGTAACAGTTAACTGAACTCAATGAATTCGTAGTCGTAAGCTTCTTTAAATCTTCCAGTTTCCTAAAACTCTACACCAGAAGAATATGGTTTTACCAAAAACTGAGATATTCATTGAGGCTAAAAAAGACTTTCACTCAAAGAATCATAGAATAGTTCACTTAATTATTCCTTGACTCAAAGATACGCCATATGCATCAAGCGTCGTCACAACACCAAGTTACGCAATTTGGAACAAAAGTATCGAAATTCTCTTCCCATTGCCGTACTTGTTATGGCCTCAAGTGTGCCAGACGAATCAGTGGAAGTGAGGCAATGGACTGGTGGTGGTCTAAAAGATGACATTTGTGTGACGTGTGCTTTCACTTGGCTACACTGTTGGCTGTATGAAATACCTATATCGTGTTTATTTTACTGCAGTCCCGAATGCTTTGCCTTTGTTTATGCAAGCTATGTGACGGCGCGATACACAGGATTAAATCGAATTTGTTATACCAAAAATGAAATAAACACAAAATGGCAGAAGTCAATACAGCCTACGTGGTTGATAGTTGCGATGACTAAATGTCCCTAATAGTTACTTTGTCACACTTGTAAAGGTTTTGGAGATTCATGATAGCATTTTATACTGATGCTGTAGTCAGTTCGCCACCATACTGCAGTGTCGGTACCATTTATCCGTTGGCCGTGATGGAGTAGTAGTAAAGTGTGCCGAATCTTATGCTCATGACTGAAGAAGGCTTCACAAAATAAATCTCGACTGATTTAGTGGGCACACAGCATTTGAGATCTGCCACTAACACCTAGCTCCCGGTATCAATATCTGCATTTAGAGAATAAGCCAAAACTAATTAAATATTATGTTCATGGATCTCAGGCCGACAAGAAATACGTATAGATTTTACTTCTTAGTTCAAAATGAAGAATTAGTGCAGGAGAGATTGCGTCTTGGTGGGACTGAGACTAGAAAAGGGAATCTTTTAAGCCTGCACACAATAGGCTGTGATGCCGAACGCTGGCGGGCTAGCAAAGGATCGGACGGGCAGACAGGCAGACAGCGTGTTTAGTGGCACAGACAGGCGACCTGGATGGTACTGTGGCCGCGCATACGGTTGCGTGCGTGCGTACATGCATGCGTGCGTGCGTGCGTGCGTGCCTTCGTGACTGCCCTCTCCGGGGCGCAGGGGAAGAAGTTGGAGGACGCGAGAAAGGCGATCGTTCGCGCACATCACTCGCTGTAGGTCAGTTTAACACTGGGAGCCGCCAGCTCTGTTGACATCTTTGTTTGGACCACTCACACACACCGTCATCTCGTACGCTCTCTATTCGTCGAGCCATAATTGTGTAGAGCTAGGCGACTATATTAATTGCCTTACCTCCGGTAAGTTTCTCATTGATTGCGTTCCTACGTTTCATTTGCATTACCAAATTTAACTTTTGTACGGAAATATGTACTAGCAATATAAAGGTTAGCGGCTTCTTGTGCAATGTTCACTTTTAATTTAAACTGTTAGTAAAAGTGTGAAGCACAACGCAGTAATGAAACTCCTCATGAAAGTGTTTGTCTTTTTGTAATAACTCAAACCTTAGGCCTAAGGTGTGAGAGACTAATGAATGTTTCATCAACTTCACAGCTTTCAAATTCTTGAGGTCCAGTCTTACTGTCAAAGAACAGAAAAAACTCAAATGAATTTCCCGAATTTGTTGGTAAAAATTACGCAACCCTTCAATAAAGGTATTTGAATGAGGTGAAATTTTACTCGGTTCAATGGGGATGACGATAACAAACTTGACTTTGTTGTTGGATTGTTGTTGG